TTGGTGTCATTCTGGACTCCAACCTATCCTTCCAGCCCCAAGTCCAATCTTTAACAAACTCGTGCAGACTCCACCTCCGCAACATTGCCAAAATCCGCACGTTCCTAACCCCAGAAACCGCTAAACGGCTCATCCACTCCCTCATCGTATCACGACTCGACTACTGCAACTCCCTCCTCACTGGCCTGCCTCGCCGCTGGCTATCCCCGCTTCAGTCGATCCTGAATACGGCTGCCAGACTCATTCACCTTTCCAACCGCTCCATTTCCGCCACCCCCCTCTGCCAATCCCTCCACTGGCTTCCGATTGCGCAACGGATCAAATTTAAAATCCTAACACTGACGTACAAAGCTGTCCACCATACTGCCCCGAACTACATCACTGACCTAATATCCAAGTACCGCCCAGCACGCAGCACTCCGCTCCTCACAAGACCTCCTTCTCTCTAGTTCCCTGGTCTCCTCCTCCCATGCCCGCCTCCAGGACTTCTCCAGGGTGTCACCCATCCTCTGGAACTCCCTTCCCCAACCCATCGGATTATCGCCTACTCTCCTCTCCTTTAGGCGCACCCTGAAAACCCATCTCTTCAGGGAAGCCTACCTCACCCCCTGCTAACTTGCTGACCTCCTCCACTCTTCCTACCACTTCATCCCCCACAGCTATCTCCTCCTGTAACACTATCCCATCCCTTCTAGATTGTAAGCTCGAAAGAGCAGGGCCCTCGATCCCCTCATGTTTTGCATTGTATTGGTATTGTTCTGTCACGTGTTCTGTCCCCCTTTGTAATGTACAGCGCTGAGTGAACTATTGGCGCTTTATAAATACTGTATAATAATAATAATCAGAGAGGACTACACACATCGTGAATTATTTTGGTATGTGTACCCAGCTTAAGGCAGGACCTTACCCAAAAGGGGAAGTTCCGCTTGTAAGCTTCTGACAACCCCCCCCCCCCCGCGGCGCAGCTGTCTGAGCCAGATGTTCAGCTCCTCCTAGCTGCTGACTTTTAATTTTTTGGGGGGAGCCTGGAGCTCTGCTTTTATTTTTCAACTTTCTTCAACAGTCCAAGCTGTTCAATAAAAGAGGTTGAGAGGGGTGCTTACAAAGCATTTTTTCTTTTATATAGAACCTTTATTCCAAAAGTGGGAAAAAGTTGCTGTAAGGGCTTGTTCACAAGCAGAGTATTAAGCCTCATTTATTTCAGCATGTCACTTTCATAAGGCATCAATGCTTGTTGGCCACCTCTATTGATTTCAGTAGTATTTCTCTGTAACTTCACCTTAACAGCACCTATAGCATTTATGGCGTGTTAGTGAAACATTTATAACATGTTAGCTGGGCATTGGGGGAGAGGTATTGGATGTTTCTGTATTCCAGAATGCACTGGGAAATAGAGAACTAGGACAGAGCAGTTCCAGCCACTTCCTGTTGGTATAGAGCAGTGTTTCTCAACTCCAGTCCTCATGGACCCCCAACAGGTCATGTTTTCAGGATTTCCATTTTGCACAGGTGATTTTGATCAGTTTCACCGCCTTAATTACCACAGCTGTTTCATCTGAGGGAAATCCTGAAAACATGACCTGTTGGGGGTCCATGAGGACTGGAGTTGAGAAACACTGGTATAGAGCAACCATGTGGTAACTTTTGTGTATGGGGAAAGTATCAATTAGCCAGCCATATACTGACAGTACCAGGCGGGAGCAGGGGCATTGACCATTCTTGCCAATGACAACGAGTGTGTGTGGGGTTTTTGTTTTTTTTTTTTTCCCATTTTTTTGTTTTAGCAAAGGTTGAGCTGGACCAAGCCAAGTGTGAGATCAAAGTATACAATTTCCTCTTGTAGAGGATTCACAAAAATGTCTGTCACACCACAACCTAACCTCACCTTTTAAAGTAGTTATCTTCCTCCTTTTAAGCACTGACCACTAGAATAGCAACACACTCATGGGCATTTATGAAGCAATCTTGAAGCTTTTTCAATGCGTCAAAAATTGGTTAAAAAACGCATCAATTTCTATAGGCACATTAACGAGCACTGTTTGATTCTTCACAATCAATACACGTGGTGAATGAGCCATAGCTGCTTAAAGTGTTAGCTGGAGTTCAGATTTCATTTGGACATCTAAAGCTGTCCATAGATGGATAAAATTTCAGCTGGTCCATCTATGGCCATTCCTGCTCAATGGAAGTCAATCTAACGAATAAATCCTGTTTGAAAAGGACCGTTGGAAAACATTTGTCGCTAGCTAGATGCAAGCCACTAATCCGTGTATTCTGGAAGTGGGGAAGTACTGCTGTCAGAGTACAATGGCGCAGTGGGTAGGATTCTTCCATTCGTGTGTGTGTGTTTTAACTCTGCCCTCTCGTTAATTCAAAGCTGGTCATGCATGGATGAAATTCAGCTGGTTCATCAGGGAGCAATCTAATTTCAATCCCTGTATGGGAGGAAAAAAAAATAATGCAGCCATTACAAATAAGAATTGGTAAGGTGCATTATATTACCTTTTTTGTTTAAAAATGTAATACCGCTTAAAGCTGTTTTATTAGGGTGACATAAAATGGGGGAGGTCCCCGAAAAAGTCTGCATTGTTCTTGAAGTATTTATCAAAGCCACGAATTTGCCAGTTTTTCAGTCAATTAAGATGCATACCTCTGCCCCTTCTTTTTTTTTTTTTTTTTTTTTTTTTTTTTGTGCTCAAGACTCTTATTACAAAGTTGTGGAAAGGGTGTGCCCATAGATTCTCTTTGGGTACACGTGTACCTATGCAGGGTGCTTATACTGTTTCAAATGCTTGTGGGAGTTGCTGATGACTTTTAATATGTCTTTTTAAAGTGGTTCTAAACTCCTAACATTATTTTACCTTAATGCATTCCCTATATTAAGGTACAAAAAAACTAAATCCAGGTAACCGTATAACTCTAGTATTTGCCTGAGTCCTCACTAGGTTAGGTGCTGTGCCGGTCTATAGCAGCTCTCTCAAATCCTGAGAGCAGGGGGTAGGGTGTCTTGGGAGCCAGCTCACATATTTGCCCCCCCATTGCGGCTTGCTAAGGGGGGCAAACCCAAAAAAAAGGAGGAACAGAGCGCCAGCTGGGGGCCCCAGAAGAGGTGCATGGCTGCTCTCTGCAATACCATTGCACTGTGCAGGTAAGTATAACATGGTTTCTTTTTTTATCATTTAGAACCACAAAAGCATAAGACGCTTATAATGAGAGAAATGCTTACAAAGCCAAGCGACTAACACTTGTAGGTACAGGTTAAGAATGGCTCCATGTCTGTCTTGAACTCTGAGTTGCTGACCCAAAGCCAAGCATACACACATTAAAATTAACGCCGAGTAGAATGCTGTTTTTATTTTTTTGTACTACACTGTTCCAGTTAATTGCATTAGTCTGTCATCTGGTTTTAAAGAATATGAAGTTTAAAGATTTTATGATGGCTATGGCACTGTAGAGGTCTTCTAGCCTGAGGGCTTTTTATGTGCCATCAAATGGTGCTTGGCTATTTTATTGCTTAAGATTTCCAGGATATGCTTGAAATATAGCCTGAAATAACCCTTCTGGAAGCATGTAAATCCCCCATTCTCTCTGGAGAATGTAAGGGAAGTGCTCTTAGCCAGTTACTGTTCTTCAGACAGTAAAGACAGATTAAGATCCCCCTTCATATTTGTAAAGAGTCAATACTTTTGTTTGTGCATGTGCCTGGGGAACTGTGCTGTGGAACTGAAACACAGCAGAGGGATAGTGCTGCCCTGTAGCTGGAGAGAATATCTCCCTGTATGATGGATGCAGGTGAAAACCATGTAGTTTATAAGCCATTGTATTCCCCCAGATACTAAGGTATAGTCTTTATTTTGTGAAATTAACATTTGGGTGTTTGTGGAGTCATAAAATTGCCTCAAATACAGAAAAGGACTAGTACTACTGTAAATGTAGAAATACAATAAATTTGAGGCCTATGAATAAAGCGTTTAGGTTTACCTCTTTTGGTAGTACTATATAAAGTGGCCATCCTAAATTGCACAATATAAGGTCTCCACTACATCGATCTATCTACGTTCTGTTCTATTGAGTATTTTGGCAATTGTTTCATGTGCAGCATATTTATTCCAGTGTTGCAAACAATTGCCAAAAAGAGGGTAAGGGTCTACCATGTAGGTTGGGCTGATTCAATGCAATAACAAGTCAAACTTCATTGTTTCCAATAGGCTTAGTTCACATGTTGTGGCTATTGTGAAAACGGAACATGCAATTAAACACAGTTCATCATATTGCACAATGCATGTTAAGGAAGGAAAATGTTCCATTAACGTATACATGCACATCAACAAATGAACAGTTAACGCCCATCAGCGTGAGTTAAATGAAACGGGCATGGTGTGATTCCAGTATGAAAGCTTTTGGTAGCACAAGAATAAAGTCTAATAACCATTACTGTGAAACTAGAAGTAAGTGTGCAGTTGGGTACAATTCCCTCTGTCCTTGCAAATTGAGAATGCAAACAGGGCACCAGCAGAAGACTAGACTAAGGTCAGAGACTGAAAACACCGCTCTTAATATGAGGGCAATATTCTGGTTGTGTTTTTTGTTTTTGCATAAACTGACCATAGCAAACTCATAAATTTGGTAGTTTGGTTTTTAGGAAATCTATGGATGAATTCAGTGGTAGTGTCGCAGCTATCAAAAGTATCTGAAATGACTATTTAATACCTTTCCCTGGGGGTTACACTGACCATAAGGAAGTGAAGGCTCTATTTTTTTTTCCATTCTGCTTTCTGGCTTTATTGCTTTGAGTTATTGGACCCGAACAAGTATAGAGATGAGTTCTAACTCTCGTGTTGCATACTTGTTCTGGATCCATGACTCGCAGTGTTGAAGCTAGGCAACTACTATTTTCAGATCAAGGCCAGTAAAGGCAGCCTCCATATTTCTCTCCTGACAAGTGTAATTTTATGTAGTACTGAGCAAATGACTACTTTTTGATGTCTCAACTCTTTCAGTGTATCAAGATTCCAAAATCCGATAGCCTCAATGAAATGCACAACTTTAACTTCTATCTGTCAAACGTGGGAAAAGATAACCCTCAAGGCAGCTTTGACTGTATCCAGCAAACAGTAGCAAGGTAAGCAGCCTGCTGCGTTTTTTTTTTTTTTTTTTTTTTTAATCTGTATAAAACTGTCCATTGACCTAATAGGAATGTACGTGGTTTGGGTTGTAGTTGATGCAAATGCTTAACCTGGGCTATTGACTGGCCAAGCAATGTATTTGCATTGATCCTTACCTTGTCAGATAAATAGTAATTAAATATCTAATTGGCCGAGTAAAAGTGTGTGTATTTGTAATATGTTATATATATATATTTCTTCCCCCCCCCATTTGGTATATCTTGCATAATGGTTGAATGACTTTTTTCATTGTACAGGATAGTAAAAATTAAAACCTTACTTTCCAGTATAGTTCGCTTTTATATTGAGTTGTCACATACCTGCTAAATTCTTTAACCAGTGCTTGTCCTGTAAGCACATGATCAGTAGTGGAAGGGCATTTTGGATGAAAGCGTTAAGGATGGCTATTACCAGTTGTGAATTTCTATGTTAAACTAAAACTCATCTAACTTTTTTTTTTCTGTATTTTTTTTTTAACCTGTTTTTAAAGCTCGGGGCTGTCGAAAATGAACTGCTTGGGATTTATACAGGATAAAATTACAGTATGTGCCACTAACGACTCCTACCAGCTTACAAGAGACCGCATGACCCAGGCAGAAGAAGAAACCCGGAGCCGTAGCACCAAGGTCATAAAACCTGGTGGTCCATTTGTAGGTAAGTGCAAATTGTAGACTCCAGATGTACTTTTAGCCTTCTATAGAAAATGGTTTAGGAATCATTTTGCATATTGCCTGGCTTAGGTGGTTTAGATGAAGATGCACTGCTTGGCATCCAAAGGTCACTGTGTGTTAACTCCGATATTTACTCCCTATGACATGATCTGCCATAATTTCCAAGTGTGGCTAAATTTAAACAGACTTTTTAAAAAAAAAAAAAAGCATCCAAAGTACAACATGATTTATGTATCGGTCAACAGAGTAAATAAAAGCTGAAAAATCGAATATCCTCTTGTGGTTTGTTTTTGTTGATTCTTTTGCTCTGTATTGTTAAGACTGCTCAGTTGCCTTGTCGACCAGAGCTGCTTGAGTTTAGTGGGAAATTGGGTAGGTCAGGTGTTGACTTTTCAGCTCAGTGGGGGTTACTCTTACTAATTTACTAAATTTGCCCTTTTCTTACAATATTTTGGATTAAGAATTCTTTTATTTTTAATTTGATTCCTACATGTGAACAAAATATATCTCCTGTATGTGCTTATAGAATGCTTGCTGTTTTTCAAGTATTTTTGCTTCACTTAGAATCTAGAAGTAAAACATCTGAGCTTCTCTAAAGAGTACAAGTCAAACGTATCAGTCTGGCATCTGGGTTGGCACCATTCCTTTGGGGCTGGAAATATGCCCATGACACTTTATAACCTCCAGCAGGATCTATTATGACTTTCCTTTAGCCCTGCTGCTTGTTAGGTCTGCCAATAACTAGAAGAAATGCCATTTCTACAAAGCCAAATTTTGGTTTCAAATTTTAATAAAGCAATATGCATGTGAAAAACAATCTTTCTTGAAGATTGACTGTAATTAAGAATAGCAATGTTGCTGTGGCCCAAGTTCTTAGTGCTGCACTCTGTTCAGTGAAGTAGAAGGAAGTAAAGCCTTCATTTCCCTATTTTGTTTGAGTGCCACTCTTCTTAGATTTGTTTTGGGCATTTTTTTTTTCCTAACTTGTATTTTTACAATCTTTTGTAGGGAAGAGGGTCCAGATTCGTAAACCAGCAAATAGTATTCTAGATACAGCACCAGAAAGGAAAAGATCTACACCCATTAACCCTGCAAGCACCATACGAAAGACAAATATCAGCAACAGTATTGCACAACGGCCATATAGGGAAAGGGTGATTCATCTGCTGGCACTGAAGCCATATAAAAAACCAGAGATACTTGCTCGTTTACATAGAGATGGCGTTAATCAAAAAGACAAGAACTCCCTCGGTGTTATCCTGCAACAGGTGAGACTAGCTCAGTCATACTGTGTAGCTGTGGGACAGTGGCTGCTTTATTGTTGCTAAACTATCCCAATAAAAAAATATAATGGTGGGGTTAGGTCTTTAAGACATCATTTCCCAAACCAGCCTGCAAGTTTCATTAAACAGGACAAGCATTACAGTTCTCCAAGAATTGACGGTAAAACAATGTGCTACTTTTCAACTAAGGCTTAGCCATACACTTCTAGGCTCAAAACATATAAACAAGTGTCCCATGCCAGCCGTAGTATTCTATAGCCTGTACAAAAGTCGAGCCGGCTGGTGCAGAAAGGACCATTTGCGTCTCGAATGTCATCTGATTCAGTAGGAATTAGCCATTCAAGCTGTGTATGGCAGGCTTTATACTACTGACAATACACCTGTGCTTCTCCCTCACTCCTGGTTCACAATGATGCAAATCTGATGCTGTTCAGATGCATTCCAGAATTCATAGATTCGCATGTCAAGTGAAATCTCATTGTTTGAGGGCCGTTCAGATATGTAGTGTGATTCTGATGCGGTTCAAAAAGAGTCATGTGCATATTAAGTGCGGTGTGATTTTAAGCTCCATAGACTATATTAAAATCACATTGCAACTGCAGCAGTCAAGCACAAATCAAACCACAAACTCTCGCTCCAAACCACACGAAAATCGCACTGCATCATACTGCATGCAGTCTGAACCTAGGCTGTGTGTTGAAAGCATTGACTGATAAGCTTATTGTGCACCAGTCAGGTTATTCAATAACTGTGCACGATTTGTAGCAACCAGTCCTATATTGTATGTTGTCTGGCTTCAGTAAAGCGAAATGTGATTGTGCTCCATACACAGCCCAAATATTAGCAGATCAGCAACCAAACAAGTCTGTACCCTGGTGTCAGATGGGGAAAAAATCAAAGGGGAATATCTGGTTGGATTTCTAATCTCTGATGGATGGTGGAATTTTTTTTGTTTAGTTTGAAAACCAAAGTCCTGCATTTCCTAAATTTTGGTCATACTTGATCTACATCCAAATACAGGGGTTAGACAAAAAATGGAAATGCTGCCTGATTTGTAGGTGTAAAAGTGACAACGTTTCACATTAAAAGCGGAAGTGATGTAACCTTCTTTTGCTTCCACTGTGTGATGAGATGCCTAGCTAAGAGGTGGGAAGCCTCACTTTCATCATTAACTGTCTGCGCTGCTATTAATACAGAGTCATATTAGATCTTACAGAGTTTCAAAGAGGGCAAACTGTTGTCTGCTTAGCTAGTGCCTCTGTAACTGAAGTTGCAAATTTATTCACTTTGTCACGAGGTACAGTATCACAGGACTGAGAGTGAGCTCTGCAGTCACTTTAGTAGCAGTTTTTTTTTATTCCGGGTCACAATCCTGTCCTGTCTCTTTTGCTTAGTTGACCATGTCGACCGTGCTTCTGCCTCTCAGACTACGTTTTTTCCCAGAAACTGTACATGCCATCATAACCTTTTTGATACTGTACCTCGTAACAGAAAATCACTTCAGTCAGAGGCACCAGATAAGCAGGCACCAACAATTTGCCCTCCTTTTGAAGCTCAGTAAGCTCTGAAATTACTCCATATTACTAGCAACCTGTGCAGTGAATGACAAAAATGCTTGCCTGCAGCAGGGCTAAATGGTGCTCCAAGGCTCTGTCCTCCAGAGCCTGGGAGCACCATAACACTCCTTTCTGAGCTAGGCCTGTCCTCATTGTGTTACCTCACACCACAGGCAGGATGGTTACACTGCCTACCCACCCTGAGCTCCTGGTGTCCACCCCATGAAGGATGGGACACAGAGCCAGGAGGAGAAGACACAGCCTTCCTACCTTGAGCATCTGGTGTCCACCCCATAGAGCAGTGGTCACTAAATGGCAAACCACAGTCCAAGAACAGCCCGAGCAGTGCGGCCCACCAGACTAGAATGTGACAGATCCACCGCTCAGCAGGGCAGCTCATTGCCTCTCCCTGCCTGTCCACAAGCGCGTGCCCCCCCCCCCCCCTTCAGAAATGATCCCAGCAGGCTCCTGCCTCTCTCTGCTGTCTGCCCTCAAGGTAGGGTATGTTTTTTTCAGGGGCACTCTGATGGGCACATTTAAAGTTAGGGGGCACTCTGAGCACAACATAGAATGTGTCCATTAGAGTGACACTTATTTTATGTTAAGAGGGCGCGCTGATGGGCACATACTGTGAAAAGGGCACTCTGATGAGGAAATATGATGGAAAGGGATACTTTGCGTGCACTCTGACTGGAATACCTGATGTAAGGTGGCACTGAGATTGCGGATACCTAATGTAAAGGAGCACTCTGATGGGCACACCTGATGTGATGGGGATACATGATGTAAAGTTGCACTCTGATGACAATTAATGTAAGGGGGCATGCTGATGGGCACACCCTATGTAAGGTGTCACCGTGATGGGGGAACATTATGGGGACTCTATTGGGGACAACTGATATAAGAGGGCACACTGATGGGAGACACCAAATGTAAGGGGGCCTTCTGATGCAGAAAGCTGATGTAAGGGGGCACTCTGATACGGGAATGGCTGATGTAAGGGGGAAGTCTGGTGGCACCCAATGTAATCTACTCTGGAGGGGGAACCTGATGTAAGGGGGGACATTTATTTTCGGACCTCGGCCAGAAGAAGATTTTAGTGACCAGACCTCTTTGAATTTTAATTCAATACCCCCACCATAGAGTATAGACACACAGCCTACCTATGCGCTTGTACTGAGCACCCAAGTGTTTTCATGTATGAGGGTAACCTGAAGGAATAAACTTTTTTTTTTTTTTCCCTCACTTGGGCCGGTACCTCATGTATTTGCTGTGCAGATGCAATTCTGCTGAGCGTTTAGGAGAGCCCAACACTCCCCTTTCTTGATGAGCATTCAATCTGTAAACGCCCCCCCCCCCCCCCCCCCCCCCCCCCCCCCCCCCCTCCCTCCCACTAGTCCATGGGCGTTTTTAGTTTAAATGTATTTATTTTATCAGGACAAGTAGATTGTCATGCAGGCATAATGCAAATCTAGTCTCTGAAGTGCATAAATCCTTGGGGCACATTCCGATAAGCAGTTTGCAATGGGTGTATTTTCCAGCTTAAATGGTTTTATCACATGACTGTCAGGGCTCAATCTCTTTAAATAATTGGAGCAGTCTTCCAGACTCCATGTAGGCCTTTGTAGGAACAAACACTGACTTGCACAGGGGAATCAATTCCCAGGCATTCAACACAGGTATCTGCCTGCACCCACCTGTGCAAATGGAGATGGATGGGGTTGAAGTAGTAAAGCATGGCTAGCTGCCAAATGCAAATCCATCAACATGCAGCTTCACACTTAAACTGCACAGTCTTAAGACTGGTTCAAGTATGTTGATGTATACATATGAGCTTTTTAGAATCAAGGCATTTTTTTCTGTTGTATATAATGCTTCTGCTAAAAAGGTGGCATTACTTCTCCATATGCAGAGCAAGGTTTGCAGAGGACTGTCAGTTGAAGCTGGAAGGCAGTTGGCTATGTGAAGGGTGAGGTCATCATCTGGGAAACAGCCAGTGCATTGTGCCACTACTGAAAGTTACAGGCTTTGCATAGCCTTCTAGGGTTTAAAACCCTGCAACTGTAAAGTTCAAAAATGAACTTTGAAATTACAGGGTCCAGGGTACTGTTCACTACAGCAAAGGGCTAATCTGTTGCATTTGAGACTTTTTATTTTTAACATATGACAAGGGGTTAAACCATCCTTCCTTTTGCCTTACACAAGAGGAAAGAGAATTCTTCTTTGCTACTTTACATTTCAGATGTCAGCAAGCAAGGCTTCTGCTTTAGTACAATGCTAGCTCATCATACGCCACTGGTACACGGGTTTATTTTTAGCTGCAGCGAGCTGATCATTTCTGCTACATATCCATGCACACCCATATTGGGCTACACCTTGACTGGTGAACAAGCTTCATGTCAGCTGTGGCAGACGGTGGAACAGTGTTATTTTTTTTTAAATAATGAAACAAATGCATGAATAAAACCGTATAATGTAGATTGTATTTTTTGATCAGGGAAATAACCCTGAAAAAAATACCAAAGCCACATTATTTGTTTGTACTTTAGAAATTTAAAGGACCTTGGGTAGAAAGGGTTAAATGGCATAGACTGGGGCTTTGTACTCTGTAGCATTTGAAACAGTACAACCCTGTACTCTTCTCTGTCACTGAGCCCAACACCCATTACACTAGGAAAGGGGCAGAGGAGTGTGGTTTTCACTAGAAACCAGAAATGCAAACATCTGTAACCCTGTGTTTTCTAAATGCAGGATCAAATTCTAGAATACTCTTGAACTGCTGTTAACTTCAGTAGTATACACAGAGTATAGTTTAAAAAGTGCGCTGAAATTCTGACTTCAGCTTGCAGGGCGTTTTTTTGCGCAGATTTAACCACTGGCTTTCCAGACACACTTGGGCCTCCACTTAGGGAAAGGATACACTTGAGATTTTTAATAAATGTGATTTTAAACCTCTTCAGTTCATGTTCCTTTGGGGGATGTTAAGTATTTGCAGAGAGTCTTGTGAGTTTAACCAGCGAGAATATGTTAAAGGAAGAAATTACACAACTGTCTCTTGTTTTCAGCAGTTAAACAATTTATCCCTTTACCCATTTAAAGGAAAGTTTTCACCTTTTTTTAGTAAAAAATAATAAATGCACATTTTTTCTTTCCAGGTAAAATATGTGCATGTATTTTTGTCTGCAGGAGCCTGGAAAGCATTGCACCAGCAATCAATAGATTGCTGGTGCCTTGCAAGGTCTCCTGCAGATCTCAGTATATCTTCTTGCCTGTACGGGATGTACAAGCAAGTAGATATACAGACAGGAATAATGCATGAACTACCATGGCGCTTCACAGCGCCTTGGTAGTCCTTTGAGGACTGCAAGCAGACAGCTGGTAGGGCTGTCGGAACATGTGGTCTCTCATTCAGAGAATTTTTTTAAATTTTTTATTTTTTTTTTAAATTTGACAGCTAGCAAGGGGGAAGAAGATCCCTGCTAGCTGTCAGTGAAGGTGGGGCCGGTCTGATTGTAACATGTTACACCCTGAACATGGGTGTAATGTTACGAAAGGTGAACTTATCCTTTTAAGGCTGCCAAACAGATTAGTTCTTTATGTCTACAGTTAAAGCCACAGTATAGTGTAAATGATGTCCTATACTAAGGTCACATGTCAGTGCAATACACACACACACTGATCTATTGCAGATTTTAATTTTGGTCGCACTACTTAAAATGGTATGTGTATGTGTTTTCCCTTTAAAATGGGCCTCTAATATCCATCAAGGTATTTAACACTTTTAAAGTGCAGGCACTTTGTGATGCTTGCAGGTACCATTGCTAGCCTTTAGGTCTGTTTCTTTGGCCCGAGGAGGACTCTAGATCCTAAGACTAGGCTGTTTACACAGCCTTGTCTTCTATTTGCAATTTAATGCCACTGCTGTCATCCAACTCTTGATGCCTCTCCATGGCATTTACTATTTTTTGTTTTGAAAGACAATTCTGACATAAACCTACAAGCCCATTTTTCCATACTGAGAAGAGTTCTCTCGTGCCTCCTTCTTTTTAAATATCAAAACACTCTCTCTAATATATCACGCACACACGCACGCACGCACCCCCCCCCCCCCTTACACACCCCTATACCTGGGGTGCACTATCCATGCACAGCCACAGAACAGAAAATAAGATCCTTCTGTGTAATCCTCTTGAAAAACGTACCTTGCAAAGCAGGCACAAAAACTTGTTCCTCTGGATGATATGTTTCAACCTCAAATCTTTAAGGCTAGTGAAGTTGAAACACACTTTTTTTTTTTTTTTTTTTTTTTTTTTTTTTACAGGAATGTTAAGTGGATTAAAATAAAGGATTTTGTTTTAACATTTTGTTGTTCTGATAACGTGTGGCCTCGTTTGTTAAAAAATGACAGTCCGCATTCCCATTAAGAAAACCTAATACTGTAAGCACAAAGAGAGGCACGATCACACAAATTCATAATGGCACCCCAAGTGCAGATAGCAGACACGTGTTTAGGCCAAGTAAAAAAATGTGCACTCCAGAAAGAGGTTCAGGAGATTCTATGTGCATAGGGCAGCTGATTCAAGTGAATGCGCGACAAGCAGAAACACTAAAGAAAACCCCCCCCCAAAAAAACAAAGAAAACCGCAAGCAGAAATGTGCTCACGCTATGCTAAAGGTTTCTCCACAGAAGTCTCACTAAATAGACTGACGCTAAATAAACCATTTCCTGATCTGAATGTATTGGGCCACATTTTTCACTGATTATCTTGTGTGCATGGGCATCTTTTTCATGAGAATGTTTAATCTTTTCTGGTATAACTTTGAATCCCTTCTTCCCATAATGTGGGCAATGTTTAAGCCCTTCAGTGCCGGTCAAAGGGTTTGTCATTGGACACTGAAGCACATCCAGCCTGTCATTGCGCTTTACTGAACTGATTTTGCCACTGTGCAAAGGGCACATGACTAACGCTAGGGGTTTTTGTCACATGGCTGGCAGTGGAGAGCTTAAAAATTGCTAGGAAAATGGCAAGTATTTAAATATTATTCATCATAAGGTTCCTATACATCAGATTAAGTTTTTGGAGGTGTATTTTTGGTGTGTTGCCAGAGTGTTCTACTGTAGCCTTCATGCTGTCTGTCGTGTTTTGTCTTTAGTTAGTTGACTTAAGTACCCAGTGCAAGTAAAATCTTCTCAAGTTAGATGCATTGAAACAGGGAATGTGGTCCACAACTTCATTCCAGACATATTAGGTAGACTAAGAAGCAGAATATCTAATTAGTTACATATTTCCCAGCATAAAAGAATCCTGCAGAGTGATCTATAAACATACATGCACAGTACTGAGGAACTAACGTTTATTAGCTTTTAGAATGTATGCAGTAAAGTCAGGCATAGATACTCTGCAAATGATTACTCTGGTGTGTCATGTATCAAATGAATTATGCTTTGCTGTTCTGCTATTCTGTGTCACCGAGGTTTGGTTTATTTAGCCAAGCCTTTTTAAAGGACTCAGACCAGCTGAAGACTATAGAAGGCTGTGTTGCAGTGAAATCTAATATATATATATATACTGGGAAATGACATGCCCAGTTGTGGAGCTGTAGGTCTCTGGGCATGAAGAGGTATTTCTAAATGACAACCTAAGTATAGTAATGTAGTGTATATTTATAGGTTGTCCTGACAATGCTATGAGGGAATCCCATGTCTAAGTGTTTTTATCTATTATATTAGGCAAACAGAATGCTTTCTCCAGCTCTAAGCTACATATCCTGGATACACTATTTATTCTGGGATTGGCAGCATATAGCTCTACAGAACTGCAACATTTGCTGCTTGCTGTCACAGATTAATGCAATCTCCTACTGAAGAACAGAAGTGTACCTGTCACTTTTTTTGTGCTTTTGACTTGCATGTATATACTAGGAACTGGTCATGAGATGCAAAGTGCCTCACTGATGATACAGAATCTTGGTGATTGGGTGGTGGTGACCAGCGCATTGTGAACAGAAAATGTTTTCTTATGTTATGCTATCATACCGAACTTCCACTGCCAACAATGATGGTGTTGGCAGTGGAAGTTCATAGCTTGGGATAGGAATTCTGCCATCTAGAGAATCTTTTGTTCAAAATGAGCTTTCTGGATGGAATCTAGAATTTGCTGTAAAAATGTTATTTCTCATTTCTACTAGACAAATTGGTGTGTGTGTGTGTGTGTGTGTGTGTGTGTGTTTTTTTTTTTTTTTTTGGTCTGTACTCCAAGTTAATGTGGAAATACTGGTTACACATATCTTACTGTTACTTGATCTCCGTTAGGTTGCCAATTTGAACCCAAAGGACAATTCATATACTCTTAAGGATTTTGTTTACAAAGAAATACAGAGGGATTGGCCTGGATACCTGGAAGGAGATAAACAGCTATTAGACAGAGTTCTTTCTAGGTATGTGCTTCCTTATCTAAAATTCAGTGTATACTTATTGGTGTTTGTACACACCACCTCTGAATGCCAGATTTCTTGCGCATGTGACTATATGTAAAAAAAAAAAAAAAAAGTTAGACTGGCATAACTAGTGCAATGAGCGTGCAATGCTGAAGGGTTTTCTTATACACTATAATCTATTGTGTGGTTTCATTGTTGGCAGAAAACTTAACCAGTCTCAGAATGCCAGCTCCAGCCAGTCAGATTCTCCTCCTCCGTCAAGTGCTGCATCTGCATCTCCTACCCAGGTATTTGGGGACATGGGTACTTTATGGTAAACCTTTTGACCTGTTTTTGTCCCTGTCTGGTTTTTTTTTCTCCTGTTCTGAGAGTTCTCTCAGCTTTAGTATTCTTCCCTGCCACCTTTTCTTAATTAACAGAACAGAGCTGCTACAAGGTCAGTAAGCTCTGGTCTGATAATTCCAGATCAGCATCTTCCTTTTATAAAAGTGGCATTGCATGCAGGCAGTAAATGGATAACTGCAATGAATTCAGCTTTGATCTATTGCAGTAAAAGCACTAGCTTTTTGCTGCATGCGGCACTGCCTACTTCTTGAACATTCCTCTTCTGATTTTAAGTGGAAGAATTAGTACTGGCTGAAAAAGTACAACAATGTTCTGATGCTGTGATGTATAAGTTACTTCTAGTGAACTGTGTGTTGAGTTTGCAGCTTTTTTTGTGACTTGTGTAACTAGAACTTGCTATTTTAAACTCTGAAATTGTTTGTGCTAAATACTTTTACGCTTTCATTACCAATTTGTTTTAAAAACTAAACTCGGTGCACAAAGACTTTCATCTAAATATAGTTCTCAGTAGCCACAAAGGATATAAATCCACTTTTTTGTGTGCAGCAAATGCCTTTTCAACCCCTTATTCCGCATTCTAAAAGGTGTGTTTAATATCACTGCACATAGTCTGCGTAGAGAAAAGAGCTGTGCAGCGATGCACTAGCTATGTCGTTGACCACCGTAAAAATTTTCAGCATTGTGTACTGAAAAGGCTGTACACAGGAATGCGCACCAAATGCTCACTTTTGGCTTCTCATTATATAAGATGTTACAGGTGACACATGGCTTTGTTCACGAAAGGTGATATGATTTTTTTTGTCCATGCATTCTCTTACTAAATAAGCCTGGAAATATCAGAAAATCATAGCCGTATTTACAAAATGTGCTCCACTTATGTCGCAAGAACTGTGTGTAATACGGGTTTTTGGAAGTTTATTTTCTAAGCGTTTTTTCCTTTTCTGTATTTCTCTAGAAACGTCTTTTGGATTCAGAATTCATTGATCCCCTAATGAATAAGAAGCCAAGGATTTCTCACCTTACAAACCGTGTGCAGCCCACTTTAAATGGCCACTTAGGTGACAAACCAGCATCTGCACCTCCTCCACCCTCTGCTGCTGCCACCCCATCACTTCCTCAACTTCCACCTGCACGCCTTCCAGTGTCCAACCCGCAAAATATAAACTCAAACTCCAATTCTCCTAGTACTCCTGAGGGTCGAGGGACGCAAGACCTGCCCATGGACACTTTCAGTCAGAATAGTGGCACCTATGAGGACCAGCAAGAAAAATATACCTCTAGGACTAATCTGGAAAATTCTGTACCAACTCCAATTAAGTTGGGAAACTTGGTTCCCACGGACGATAAAAATAGCACATTGCACAAAAAGGCAAAGAGAGCCAAAAAACACAAGGATAAAGACCGCAAGAAACTGGATGCTGAACCCACAGAGGAAAACAAGCCAGCACACCTAAGGAAAGAAGAAATTATTAAGGAAGAAAAGAGCCTGAGCCTGGATAAAAAGAAAGGTGCAGCAATATTGTACAGTATCTGTGAGGGCTACATATTATTTTGGGTTTTATTTATGCACATGCAGATGGCACTAGATATGCCTCGTTTATTTATGCACTTCTGAAGAAATGTTCTTGTTCAAAGACCAAACATTCTTCCTTTCATTCCCAAAATGCAGTGTAGAATAGGCAATCGAAATGTTGGCGTCCAGAACACTTCTGCGTTCAAAGAATTAGGCTTCTGGTGTCCAGTTTTTTGTTTGCTCCTTAAGCTGTAGACAGCACTCTTGTTTTATATCACCTGTTGAAAATGCAAACCAAAGCAAGGGTAGAGCTATTAGGCATTGTGCATACATGCTTCTGCTTGTGTAAGAACATTGTATACAGCAAGCTTTTACAGAGCACTCAACACTTTCAGCAAGCTTAATGTAGTAGTGTTGAAGCATTTAGAGCACCCTTCATCTCCGGTTTGGGGAGGTTAAACACAGATTTTAATGAGAGCTGACTATCTTTACTGAATGCAGCTAGCAGCCTAATTAAGCTTCAGTGCTGCTTGTTTAAAGCTTGCTAGCAGATTGTTAAAAATGACAGTCAGCACTCCCGTTAAGAAAACCTTATACTGTAAGGGCTCATGCACACTGCCGCTAGGGAAAAAAAAAAGTTCCTTTTACAGGTGTTTAAGCTGTTATTTCTCTGCCTCTAAGGCCCGATGCACACTGCAGCTCAAAGAAGCTGCTGCTACAGGTGTTTGAGCTGTTTTGAGCCTTTACTTTTTTATGCTTGCAAAACTTATCAAATTGCAGTTAGGCCTCATGCACACTGCAGCTCAAAGAAGCTGCTCCTACTGGCGTTTGAGCTTTTACTTTTCTATGCCTGTTTGCTCCATGTTGGCCTACGTGTCTGTGCACACTATAGGCGTTTTCAGGAGTTTGCAGGTATATGAGTTTACAGGCAGAAAAAAACCCCAAAGGGGTTTGGGGTTTTTTGTTTTTTTTTGTTTTTTTTTATTTTGCCTGCACACTCCTGTCTGTAAACTCCTGAAAATGCTTGTAGTGTGCATGGACACATAGGCTAACATGGAGTAAACAGGCATAGACAAGTAAAAGCTCAAACGCCTGTAGGAGCAGCTTCTTTGAGCTGCAGTGTGCATGAGGCCTAACTCCAATTTGCTAAGCTTTGCACAGCTTTGTTGAGGCCTTGAAAGCAAATATTTTGTAGATGGTTTCTGTAAGACATTGCTCTTTTTTTACATAATGAAGCCCATGTATGCCATGCATTCTAGAGCTGTACATTGGGTAATTTTTGAAGGGGACGGGGGGCTGTACTAAATTGTGCTAGAGGGCTGCTGCATTTATTTCATAGAAATTAGATTTTTGTGAGAACACTGTACATCAAAAATAGAATGTTTGTGGTTTTCAGAATTATCAATGAGTACTGCACCTGCTTTCATCGCTGAAAAAGTGTGAACATCTGTGGTGTTAAATGCTTCCGCTGCATGAAGGGAATCTACAACAGTAGTTTCGTAGCCATATTGCAGTTTTTTCTGGTTTATGCTTCTGCTCATGTTTGTTGCTCGTACAGTGCAGGACACAGGCTGAGTATTTATAGACCGCGGGTTATAGGCTGGTACCTTTTTTGGGTGATTGCACACTGGCAGGTTTTTGAGGTCATGTCCTCTGGTGTCCCCCCTTATAACCCTACCCCACTCTGAGTCCTCAGTGTTTTTGCTCATGTCCTAAGCTGATGGACCTCTTATCCCTTAGCTTATCTAGTTTATTTATTCTTTGCATATTTGTTCATTGCATTCTTCAGCCAACTCCTTGCTGTCCTCTGTAAAACCTCAGGAACTGTAGCTCGACCCAGCATTCTGGAGTCGGCATGTAACATTGCTTCAGGCACTAGCTCACCTTTTCTTCCCTTTTCACTTGGTCTTTAATACAATATTAAACAATACTTGCTTTTATTACTAGAATAACAGATCTGTTGCGGGCAAGAAGTCAATCAAAAAGCTCGGTTTTGACACAACTTCAGTTTCCAAATGTCACAGAAATGGTGCCATATCACCTTCTGCCTTGAAGCTGTTAATATGCAAATGTACATGGTCAGGTGTGAACATAGAGTTTCTCTTTTGATCGAATTGTGCTGATTTGACTAAATGTGCACAGAAGCTTGTGCTCTACAGATCTTTCTTGGTAGTAGGCACCATAAACATTTTTTTCTTAAAGCATGTCAAAGAAAAATAACAAAACAAAAAAATTTTAATACACCTCTGTAGAACATGCAACATGTTTAAAACCGTAAAACATGGGGAAATGTGTAGTGATGGGTTGAACACACCCATGTTTGGTTTGTGGTCAAACATTCGACCCTAATGAATATTCGACCGTGAACTTCAAACTCAATGCAAGTCCATGGGACTTGAACTTGTAAATTCGAAAGTGCCCATTTTGAAGGCTTATATGCAAGTTATTGGCCATAAAAGGGGTATGGGGAGTCAGGTACTGGCCTGGTGGTTTTGGGGGTCTGTGGGCAGGGGGGGCTTATTAGCATCAGGGTACCCGTTTAAGGTGGCACCCTGATGCTGCCCCCCCATGAACCAAAGGGTTAAATTCAGTAAAAAGATGCCAGACTTTTGAAAAATTTAATTGAACAAAAAAGTTTTTTTTTTTTTTTTAAAAAGTCCTTTGACGTCCTTCCCAGATCACTCTTTGCGCGTGCCCGCAGCGCCGTTCTGTGGTGAGACCTGTCACCGGCTGTTTAACTCGGACATAGCCTATGACAGATCTGTGTACCTGCCCGGTTGCCAGTACCATGTGACCTGCTGTGACCAGTCAGCAGGCCATATGACAGTTGTATACAATGGATGGCTTCTTTTCAGGCCATCCATTGTATAAAAGTGTCTAGCTGTGAATGGTCACAGTGATCACATGCACAGGCTGGGCCAATCACAGCCCATCCTGTGCATTGTGGTTAGCTGTGGCCAATCACAGCTAATCACAACAACAAAATCTGAATAAATTTCAGTTAAATTGCTTGCTTATAGTAAAGAAATTCTTTGCTATAAGCAATTAAATTGTGTAAAAAAAAAAAAAAAAAAAAAAACTGTTCACTTCCCAAAGTAGTACAATGTTACTATGGTAACCTTATACTACTTTGGTCATAGTGTAATATGAAAAACATGTAATAAAATTAAAAATGATCAATTTTGTCACCAGGCAGTGTCCCTGATCACTGCCACACCCAGTTATATGATGATGCTGTACTGCACTGGTGACAGTATTTTTTTTAATTTCTTCATTTTCCAAAAAAAAAAAATACAATGGGAAAAAAAACTCGCCATGCCTCTTATGAAATATGTCGGACTGTCTGCTTTGCAAAAAGGGGTCATTTGGGGGATATCTGTACTGTTCTGACATTTTTGGGTCTCAAGAAATTAGATTGGCTGTCAGTACTTCAGGATTGATACATTTTCAGATATATCCCATAGTTTGTAAACTCTGTAACTTTCCTACAGACTAAATACTGATTTTGTTATTTTCACAAAAAAAGTAGCACAATACATCTTGGCCTAAAGTTATGAAGAACAATTATTTGCAAACTTTTGTAACAGATACAAAGTTTTTTTTTTTTTTTTTTTTTTTTTTTTCCCCCGTTTTTTTTTGGGGGTTTTTTCCCAAAATTCAGTCCTTTTTTTTTTTTTTTTTTTTTTTTTTTTTTTTTTGTTTTATCAAAAAAATTAACCCCCAGTGGGGTAAATATCACCAAACGAAAGCTGTCTAGTTGTGTGAAGAAAATGATAACATTTTAGTTTGGGCACAGTGTTGCATGACTGCAATTGTCATTCAAAGTGTGAAAGCGCTAAAACCTGAAAATTGGCCTGGGCAGGAAGGGGGTAAAATTGCCCGGTATGGAAGCGGTTAAATATTTCCAGTAAAAACATTTTAAACTAAATTTCATCAAATTTAGGCCAAAATGCGTTCTGCTGCATCTTTTGCTAAAAAAAAAAGAACCCAATACGTGTAAATTAATTGGTTTACGTGAAAGGTATAGAGTTTACAAATGGCGGTATATATGCTGGGCTTTTTTTTTTTTCTTGTAATTTTTACTAGTAATGGCAGTGATCGGCGACTTGTAGCAGGACTGCAGTGGGCATTCTGACACTGGTGGGAACTGACTTCGTGTCACTGACATCCCCTGTTTGTGCTTCACTGTAAGCACACCGCTTTGCATGGCTGCAATATATATTTTATTTTCTATATATATATTATATATTTTCTATATATATTATAATATATTATAATATATATATTCGTGCTCATAATCCACCACCAGAAGAAATAAACTCACCAGAGTTTCTTACTAATTAATTAAAGCCAGCAAAAACGCTGTTGCTCTGGGAGCGATGGTAATAAAGGAATCCAGATATTCAAAGCAGTACTCTATAGAGGAATGGAATATCCAAGCTTGGGAGCAATACTCTGCAGCAGCAACATCAAGCCAGCATCCAGGAACCTTTACTTAATCGTCCAATTGTCCTTTACTTAAGTAGTTGCCGACCGCAGATAGCCGAATGACGGCTGCACTGCGGCCGGCCAGTTCTGGGTGGACGTCATATGACGTCCTCCCAGAACGCGCTCTCCTGCCCCCTGGGGCACGCACCTGGCGATCTCCGTGATTGCTGTGTCCTACGGACACAGCTGATCACGTGATGTGGTAAAAGGCCAATCACAGCGGCCTTTTACCACGTGATCAGCGGTGTCCAATGACACGCTGATCAGAGGGAAATGCAAGTGCCGGTTCTCGGCTGCACTTTCCTCACGCTGTCAGATCGCGAGGAAAGTACTGCCGAGAACCGGCAGTTGTCAGAGCGGGGATCGGCACCGATCATCAGGGCACTGATGATCAGTGCCCCGATGATCGGTGCCCAGCAGTGCCACCCGCAAGTTCCGCCCACCTGTGCCCAGCAGTGTGCCCACTAGCTCCGCCCACCTGTGCCCAGCAGTGTGCCCACTAGCTCCGCCCACCTGTGCCCAGCAGTGTGCCCACTAGCTCCGCCCACCTGTGCCCAGCAGATCGCCCAGCAGTGCACCCACCTGTGCCACCTACCTGTGCCCAGCAGTGCCCACCCACCTGTGCCACCCACCAGTGCAGCCCAGCAGTGCTGCCAGTCAGTGCCCAGCGGTTGTGCCAGTCAGTGCCGTCTATCAGTACCCATCATCAGTGTCACCTATCAGTGCCGCCTATCAGTGCTGCATATCAGTGCCGCCTATCCGTGCCACCTCATTAGTGCTGCCTATCAGTGCCCATCAGTGCTGCCTCATCAACGCACATCAGTGAAGGAGAAAAATTACCTGTTTGAGAAATTTTATAATAGAAAGAAAGAAACTTTTTTTTTCAAATTTTTTTGCACTTTTTTTTTATTTATAGCGCAAAAAGTAAAGCGCCCAGTGGCAATTAAATACCACCAAAAGAAAGCTCTATTTGTGAGAAAAAAATGATCAAAATTTCATATGGGTACAATGTTGCATGACCGCGCAATTGTCAATCAAAGTGCGGCAGCGCTGAAAGCTGAAAATTGGCCTGGTAAATAAGGGGGTATAAGTGCCTGGTAGGCAAGTGGTTAAAGAACCAAGACCTCCACTTGTCGTCCTCCCGCATCTCTCCAACCTCCACTTATCCCCTGCTCATATCCATAACAACTCCTTGCGCACAGGCAGAGGGCACAAGGTGGTATCGGGGCACACAAATTGTGGCAAAATGGGTATTTTGCACTTATCGAGCAGGCATAACAAAATACTTTCAGTAGACCAGAAGGGGGCAAGGAAGTTCATTTTTGGCAAGTGCAATGTACCTGTCTTTTCTGCCAGTCTTCCTGCCAAGTCACACATCCCAGTGACTACTTTACTGAGATATTTCATGGCAGTCCATAATGAAGCTTAACTACATTATAGAAGTTTCTATCTGTTGAAACTGTTCCAGAGAAGGTTTAAATGGTCAATTTTTTTAAAAATAAGTTTTTAAAATTTCCCAAAGGCCAGTGCCTAGGTAGTTGGCCAAACCTGCACTGTCATGTTGCAGCAGTCTTATCTTCACAAGTCTTATGGTATTGGTACTACTAAAAGTAGGTGTTGTTTTTGCTGTGTCATGCTTTGTGTAAACTATTTGCTTTCTTTCCTTTTTGTATTCAGCACTGTGGCTGTCCATTACTTGGTGTTGCAAATATGCAGAGTGTACCTAGTTTTATTTGGTGTGCAAAGATTTTTATTCTCATTTTCCTGCCACATGGCTGAGACTGTGAAACATTAACCTTTGCTCATTTCACATTTAAGTTTGTGTAGGTTGTTGCAGTTTTAATGTGTGCCTGTGTGGAATTACTTTTATGTGATTGATATGTAGCTTATCTTTACCCAGAGTACAGGAGGTGATTAATATAAAATGTATCTTGTTTTGTCCCTGCATGATTCAGACTGTTTTTTTTTTCCTTCCCATAGATATTCAAGAATCTTGCATAACTTCAGACCCTTCATCCACAACAGAACTGCCAGATTACATAGTGTAAGTGAAGACGTATCTTGTCACTTGTCAGTAATATGTCAGTGTTGCAGTGCCTTGAAAAAGTATTCATACTGCTTGAAATATTCCATATTTTGTCATGTTACAACCAAAAAATGTAAATGTATTTTATTGGGATTTTATGTGATAGACCAACACAAAGTGACACATAATTGTGAAGTGGAAGGAAAATGATTAAATGGTTTTCAAACTTTTTTACAAATATCTGAAAAGTGTGTGGCATTCATTTGTATTCAGCCCTCTTTACTCTGATACCCCTAACTAAAATCTAGTAGAACCAATTGCCTTCAGAAGTCACCGAATTAGTAAATAGAGTCCACCAGTGTGTAATTTAATCTCAGTATAAATACAGCTGTTCTGTGAAGCCCTCATTATGCTGTTTGTTCACTAATGTTCTCTAACAAACCTCTGAAGGCCAAGGAATACACCAGACAGGTCAGGGATAGTTTTTGAAGAAGTTTTTAAAGCAGGGTTAGGTTATAAAAAAAATAAAATAAAATAAAAATATTCCAAGCTTTGAACATCTCACGGAGCACTGTTCAATCCATCATCCGAAAATGTAAAGAGTATGGCACAACTGCAAACCTACCAAGACATGGCCGTCCACCTAAACTGACAGCTCGGGCAAGCAGAGCATTATTCAGAGAAGCAGCCAAGAGGCCCATGGTAACTCTGGAGAAGCTGCAGAGATCCAAAGCTCAGGTGGGAGAATCTGTCCACAGGACAACTATTAGTCTTGCACTCCACAGATCTAGCCTTTATGGAAGAGTGGCAAGAAGAAAGCCATAAGAAGTCTCGTTTGCAAGAAGCCATGTGGGGGACACAGCAAACATGTGGAAGATGAGACCAAAATTGACCTTTTTGACCTAAAAGCAAAACGCTATGTGTGGCAGAAAACGAACACTACACACCATCCCCAATGTGAAAGATGGTGGCAGCACCATGTTGTGGGGATGCTTTTCTTCAGCAGGGACAAGGAAGCTGGTCAGAATTATTGGGAAGATAGATGGAGCCAAATACAGGGCTATCTTGGAAGAAAGCCTGTTAATGTTTGCAAAAGATTTGAGACTGGGGTGGAGGTTCACCTTCCAGCAGGACAACAACCCTAAACATACAGCCAAAGCTACAATGGAATGGTTTAGATAAAAGCATATTCATGTATTAGAATGGCTTAGCCAAAGTCCAGGCCTAAGTCCAATTGAGAATCTATGGCTAGACTTGAAAATTTGCTCTTCAGTTGCTGTCCATCCGATCTGACAGAGCTTGAGCTATTTTGCAAAGAAGAATGGGCAAAATGTTACTCTAGTTGTGCAAAGCTGGTAGAGACATACTGAAAAAGACCTGCAGCTGTAATTGCAGCGAAAGGTGGTTCTACAAATTGACTGGGGGGGGGGGGCTGAATACAAATGCATGCCACACTTTTCACATATTTGTAAAACATTTTGAAAACCATTTATCATTTTCCTTCCACTTCACAATTATGTGCCACTTTGTGTTGGTCTATCACATAAAATCCCAATAAAATATAAAATAAATTTAAATTTTTTGGTTGACAATGTGGAAAAGTTTCAAGGGGTATGAATACTTTTTTCAAGGCACTTTATGCAAGTTAATATGCATCCTACCTAACCCAACAAACCAAATGTGTATTGCAGCATACCAGATGCAAATTTTGGTTGCATTTTAGTTTTTTTTTTTTTTTTTTTTTTTTTTTTTTTTTGTTCCCCCCCCCCTTATGATTTGACTGGTCCACTTGGCCCCTTGAACTTGTCAGATCTAAGGTGCAAGATATCCTTCTCCACATTAACTGCTTAGATTTTATGCTTGTAGTTATGTCCCATTTTTTTCAAGTTTGAGATTTTCTATGGTGTCAGTTTTCTCTTTAACAGCGAATGCCTTTTACTGGAATGTATTTTAATAGGCTTCTCACAGCCAACATAAAATTTTTCGTTTGTAGGAAATACACTGTCATTGTGTCTAATGAACAGAGGCAAAGCTACAAGGACGACTTTAACTCTGAATATGATGAATATCGGAGATTGCACGCCCGAGTAGAAAGTATCACCAGAAGATTTATGCAGCTGGATGCACAGAGAAAGCGGCTGTCTCCTGGTTCTAAAGAATATCAGGTGAGAATTGCTGCAAAGTAAAAAAAAAAAAAAAAAAACTGTGACATAAGATACCTGTAGAGATAGGGTAAATACCCTTCCTGCTGCCCCTTCTGCAGACCGCCACTCTACTGAGGAGGATTTTTCCCACATTAGCTCTGCAAAAATGGACACTTCATGGAGTGTTTATCTCCATGTCCCCACTGCAGTGTTCAGGGGCTGCTCCTGCTGACCCCTACATCACCACATGAAATATCGATTTTATTATTTATTTCTTAGAGGTTTCTGTAGACAAGTTTTTTCAACATTGATATCCAGTGGCAAGGCAAGCACTTGTTTTGTAATTTTAAAGTAACTGTTTAAATGTTTTTTTCTTTTTTTTTTTTTTTTTTATGAATACATTTGACTGACCAGTTTAATTTGGCAATCAGAGTTCAGGTCCATTTTTAAGTTTTTTTTTTTTTTTTTTGTTTTTTTTTTTGTGCAGCTCAACGTGTATAACAAGTTGAATGCCTGGACTAGAATAGGTCCTTTTTACATGGTTACGTCATCCAATACCTGCAGTCGCATTTATTTTTTTTGTTTTTCTGCAACATGGGGAGAATGGATTTGTTCTAGGTATAAATAACATTAGCCGTAATTCTAATGTTTTTGAAGCTTTTCTATAGTGTGTTCTTAACCATACACCACAGGAGATTTAATTCTTGGATTATGTTCTGCCTCCGGGTGATTGAACACTGGCAAATCGCAAAGCTAGACCCAATGTTGCATAACCCCCTCCCACTCCCAGCATTACCTTTTTTGCAAGTGTCTGCCGGTGATGGACCCTGTGGGTCTGTCTGCCGGTGATGGACCCTGTGGGTCTGTCTGCCGGTGATGGACCCTGTGGGTCTGTCTGCCGGTGATGGACCCCAGGCCAAATCCTGAGGAAAAGGGGTCCAACAGAGACAGTGATTCCCTTTTTGTTGAAGGCCAGAAAACCTTCCCTATGTGAGATTTGGATTTATTGAAAGCTGTGGTTTTTTTTTTTGTTTTTGTGTTTTTTTTTTTTTTTTTTTTTTGGTTTTTTTTTTCCCAGTCAAAAAAAAAGTGCAAACCTACCTCTCCTCTCCAACTATCCCCAAAACATGTACAAAAGCATATTAGGTAACAGTAGTTTCATCTGCAATCCCACATTGCATTGTAACATATATTAAGCGTTACGATTCTCATCTCACATAAGGTTTACCATCACACATGGAAAGCTTATTTTGCTTGGTGTGAAGAGATCTTCATCCTGGAAAAAACTCTGTGGTACAGGTTTTCCCTTTCCTTCAGTCAGGTTTGGAAAATCCTTTGGCCCTGAGGACTATTAAGTACCAGGTTTTTGTCAGCATCACTAGTGAGTGTTACATCGATTAAGAGGGTTAATTTACTTTCACTTTAATTACACTTCTACTGTGAAGAATGGTTTCTTGTGCTACACAAGGTAGTTTTGACACCTCAAAGCTCCATCTTACTCTTTCTCAGACTCCAAAACATCCTAATGTGATGGCTGTACATGGTTTAGATATGGTTGGAGCTGTGTGAAGCCACTGCCTTGATTCATCAATTTGACACTGTTTTGCTTAACAACTTGCCCTCCAGATGATTTACCTCCTTCCTGACCAGGCCATTGTTTGCGATGCGGCACTGCGTTCCTTTAACTGACAGTTGCGCGGTCATGCAACACTGTACATAAATGAAACTTGTATCATTTCTCCCCCCCACAAATAGCTTTCTTTTTAGTGGTATTTGATCACCACTGTATTTTTTTAGTTTTTTGTGCAAAAACAAAAGTCCAAAAATTAAAAAAATATATATTTTCTGTTCTAAAACGTATCGAATAAACAAACATAAAAAATAAAATTTCTTCATAAATTTAGGCCAAAATGTATTCTGCTACATATATTTTGGTTTAAAAAAAAAAAAAAAAAAATCCCAATAAGCGTATATTGATTAGTTTGCGCAAAAGTTGTTATAGCATCTACAAACTATGGGATACATGCTGAATTTGTTTTTTTTTTTTTTTTTTTTTTTAAATGCTAGTGATTGCGGCGACCAGCAACTTAAAACAGGACTGTGATATTGCGGCGGACATTTTTACATGAAGTGACACTCTTTGGGAACCAGTGACACTAATACAGTGATCAGTGCAAAAAATATGCACTAACGGTGTACGAATGAAACTGGCTGGGAAGAGGTTAAACAGCTAGGGCAATCAAAGGGTTAACTGTGTGCCTAGCTATGTGATTTGTGTACTACATGTGGTGCTTTTCGTGATTCTGCACAGGACAGCCACCCTGTAGAAGTAAATTTGCTATGGGGCGGTTGTCAACTGGTTAAGGGCTCAGAAGGGACAAGCCACCCCTTGAACCACATTTGCTAGGTAGATTAAGCAAAATTTTATTTAGGCATATCTGTAGGGAATGATTCCTCTCTTCCCTGTAAAGGCTCATTCCATCAAAAGCGCTTGGTGCTTTGTGGGCTTTTCAGCATCGGGCTTCATTTTTACAGTTCTATAAGGCTGCCACTTGGTCTTCTGCACACATTTTGAGGGGTTATGCAGTTAGCAATAAAGATGTGCACACCTATTTTCTATACCATTTTTAGCAAACGGCAATAGATTACTTTGCAGGGTGCTTAAAACTCTCCACAGTGTATCAATCTGCTAGTAGCATTTTTAAATATATAGAGTAAGCACACCACACAACAAAAATGCTCTGGCAATAAAGTTACAGTGCCCTGAAAAAGTATTCATACCGCTTGAAACTTTCCACATTTTGTCATGTTAAAACCAAAAATGTAAATGTATTTTATTGGAATTTTATGTGATTTACCAACACAAAGTGGCAGGAAAATGATAAATGGTTTTCAAACCTTTTTACAAATATCTGAAAAGTGTGGCGTGCATTTGTATTCAGCCCCCTGGAGTCCATACTTTTGTAGAACCACCTTTCGCTGCACTTACAGCTGCAAGTCTTTTAGTCTTTTTGGGTATGTGTCTACCAGCTTTTCACATCTAAAGACTAGAGTGAAATTCTTTTGCAAAATAGCTCAAGCTCTGTCAGATTGGATGGAGAGTGCCTATGAACAGCAATTTTTAAGTCTTGCCACAGATCTCAATTGGATTTAGGTCTGGACTTTGACTGGGCCATTTTAAACCCATGAATATGCTGTGATCTAAAACATTCCGTTGTAGCTCTGGCAGACTCAAACAGGTTTTCTTCTTAGATTGTCCTGTATTTGCCTCCATCCATGTCAAGGGGTATGATTACTTTTTCAAGGCACTGTATTTTGGCATATACAGCTATATAATGGGTACAAATATCCAAGTATGTCATATCACATCAAGCATAATACAGCATGGTTATTTGCTCGACTGTTGATTGCAACCAACAAAAATAATGATCATGCTTGAACAGCATTTAAAGTAATTCTGTGCTTGCGAAGTTCCTTCTTTCCGTGCACTTTATCAAAGTCCATCTTTATATTTCAGGTTCTGCATGAGCAGGTTCTCAAGGAATACCGTAAATTCAAAGAGGTAGGTGTTTTTATATTGCTGAACTGCAGGGTTCTTTGTAGTAAAATGAGCAATCGGGTGCAATCCAACATAACCTCTTAACCATCGTAATATTAAAAGCGATTGAAGTGAATGTGTGTAGTTTTCATTTGCCCATATCCTGCCGAACTTCATTTGCCCACTTTTACTATAATAAAGTCTGTTGCTAAAATGTTTGAAAACTGTTTCCTGCAAAGAGTAAATGATCACCTTTTACTGCTGTTCACACTCACTGTCTGCTGTTTTTGAAAAATCTGCCTTTTGGTAGTATTTCATTCTTTACCCATGGTGTGCTGTGGTTCCTCCTGCTAGCCCTGACACTGCATCACTGCTGAATACAGTAGTGGTTATTTACATTATTTTTCTTTGTCACTAAAACACTGCAAAGGGTTTCCTGCAGAGCAAGGCTTAAGCAATGCTAACAGTAGACTGCAGTTCCTGCTCTAGAGTCAGAGAAAGCTGGCATATCTTGACAGTAGGTTGTAGAACTGTTCACAGGCATGGGATCTCCTCCAGACATCTTAAAATGGTACATTTGTAGGGTGTTGCTTTGGACAACTCCCAAAGACAGCTACACCATTTAATTTGTAGCAGTCGTGTATGCTTACACACATTGCAAGGTAAAGTTGTTCAGGCACTGTACTTTGACATGCAATTTTGCAACACTTGGGACTATGACTGCTGTTGCTTTGGTTAATTAACTAGGCACTATTTGAAAACAGGAAGTGGTAACAGAACATGGCTTTTTTTTTTGTTTGATTTTACACTATATCACTGGGCCTAATTAATTAAAGCAATTTGTGGAATAGTGCAGAAATTGGTGATCTTTCCTTTTCTGACTAAATGCGAATGTTAAGACAGCCACATCTACTGTATCTTAAAATGTTGGGGAAAAGGTAAAAATTTGAATGGTAAAGATGTCCTTTGCAATGACAGTAGCATTTAGGTGGAAGTGTGCACAAAGAATTCTTTACCAGAGTCCCTGAGAGAGCTATAAAATTAACTATATGTAGACCTGTAACCGCTGCAGTGCTTGCTAATCTGAATTACCCAGCTGACTTGTAGTAATTTTTTTTTTTTTTTTTTTATTCTGTTCCCAGGCAAGTCCAAACTATTATGAAGAAAAGTACAGATGCGAGTACTTGCACAACAAGCTTGCCCATATTAAAAGACTAATAGGAGAGTTTGACCAACGACGGGCAGAGTCCTGGCACTAATGCTCTGCTTAGACAAGATGTGAAAACTCAACTTTATTTATTTAAAATTCCACATGTGTTACGCTAGGATAAAGCAAAGAAACTTTTCAGGAGTTTCAGTATTAGCAGACATTGTATTGTTTTCTTCTCCTGATGCCCAACCTTCCTTTATCCTGCTTATTTAAAAGCTGCTTTCTCCTCTTCCTTGTCCTTTTGGACTGTCATTTATCTGTGGAAATCAGTATAGCTACTGGATCTCCAGTGCCTATACCTGATGATGAACTGCGCATTTATGTAGCATAATCATGTGCTTTAGATAAATGTCTGTCTTCTGATCTTTCTTAATGCAAACCCTTTTGCCTTAAGTGGTATAAGGTAAAAAAAAATTTGCACAAAATGTATTTAAAAAAACCTTTAAAAAAAATGGTGGGTTAAGGGACGGAAAAAGTGTATGTAAAAAAAAAAAAAAAGAAAAAAAGGAAAACACCTATCTGTCCTTAACGTGAACGTTAACTTTCAAATCGTACCCCCTGACTTCAATGGATGCCTTAAGGTGTTTGCCTGTTTATACTTGGTGTAGTTAAGTATTAGCTACATTGCTTCCCCTCTCATGAAAGCAAGTGGGAAGTACTCTGTGGCCTATCAGCGTCTAGGAGTGTGCTTGTACGCGTGCAAGGATTGCGTGTGTGTGGGCATGCATGATGAAATCTCAAAGCTGCTATGAAATAGGCCAAACGCTCAGGTTTTAAACAACTGACGAGTGTTATTGTAGGGTTTTTCCTATGACTTTGCTATTTGTATTGTGGGAAAAACAGAAGCATTTCCATTTCAAGGATTTGTCCACATTATTAGGAGCGAAGGGAGGGCTGATGAGGGAGCTGGTATTAACCCGAGCCTAGCCCTTTCGGTAGAGAGGGTGTAACTTCTTGTGAAGGGGGTTTAACCAAGACACGTTATTTTGGGTGACAAATTAAGAAATATAACCATGTAGGTAACCTATTTATATACTGATATAAAGTATTTTTGAAAGATATGCAAAGAAGCTATTTACCTACATGTATATTTAAAGATTTTTTTTTTCTTTATCTCCTGCAAACCAGGAGCTGAGTAAAGTACAGATTATATTTAACGATAAGAAAATACTGTGATCATCAGACAGCACAAAGTTGCATTTCATGCAATGTACCAGTTTACTTTAATTGAAATTACTTTTAATATGGGAACAGACGAACAGGCTTTTTGGTTTTCTGACATTCTGAATAAACTGAAGTTCACTTATTTTTTTTCTTTTCTTTTGCTTCTTTCACCCCTCCCATAAAAAGTGCTGCCAAAAAAAGGGACACACATTGTTTACAGATGTGATCAGTGGAATGTTTGCCAAAAAAAAATTGTTGTCAATATCTGTAATAAATATTGCCTCCAGCATCAAATACAATTGCTTTTGTCTTTCTGTAAACCAGAATGTTTGTGTCATGGGGGAATCTAAAATCGCTTGTTTAAGGGGATACTGTTTTGACATACCTGTGAAATGGTTTGATCCATTTCTTGGTGATGCCCAGATACAAGGTCATCCTCATCACCATATTGCTCTTTTTACAGAAGGGACTTAAAAATTAAAAGAACATTTTCTTATAAGTTTACAAATGGCCTTAAATTAACCAAACCATTATTGCATTGCAAAAAAACTACTAATTGAAAGCTTAACTTTTTTATGAATTTTCTTCCTTTTGTATCTACAAATAGTCATTTGAACTATAAACTCACAAAAGCGCTCTATAAAATGAGGAGACTTTGTGGTATAAATTAGGATGCAATACATTTCTCAAATCAATGGGCACTTTATACCTGTAGATGAAATATCAGACTGTTATTGGTCTTAAGGGCCATTAAAATGTTTATTAACTTTCTTTTCTGTGGCTGCTTTTTCATAGTCAAATTAAACATATCAAGTTTTGTCGGCTGTTTGAATAAGTGCTATACGCATGGCTACATGGTGTATGGTTACTTGGCTAACAATTTGAGTCCATATTTACAGTTCACCATTGTGTGCAACTATTCTGTACCTCCATTGCAAGGTATAATCTCGCAATTTGAAGGGATAATTGTCCATATTTGGGGAAAATTGTTGAAGCTGTAGCTTAAACGTTCAGGAGAATGTTTAAAATGTTGCCATCAGTTTCAGATCTAGTTAAACATTTTGGATATTGAATGTAATGATGGTATCATAAGTGCATAAAATCCATGTGCTTTAGGGTCCATAAATGTGTTTCTTATTGATACTTCCTAAAGAGAAAATTAGATCTATATGAAATTGAAAAGATAATTTGGGAGAAATCTTATTTTGTTATTGGTCTTCATTGTGGATGAACTTCCATTTTGTAGACAACCTCACCTTTGCCACTTACTTTCTGGTTTACAAGACAAATGTATTAATGATGAAAAGTATATTTCCAAGGGGGAACACAACTCTATGTAAATACATGAGACAGAACACGGAGTTGGCCCTAAAGTGCACCTGACTCCTAAAGTTTCAGTCTTGTGGGCAAAACAGCACAGCCTATTAATGCATTAGAAAACACTGATGTCGAAATCCAGTGAAGCTTTCACATGCTTGGTGAATGGATAACATTGTACTTAAGGAAAAACTCCACGTAAGCATTGTGTGTTGGGCTGTTTGCGTAATATATGCAAGCCAAGAAGACCAGGTGGTCGCCCTGGGTTTGACAGTCTTGTAGACGTAAATGGCAGACAATTCTATATTAGACTATTTTATTGGTGATACTGCTTATATTGGTCAAGAAAATACAGCTCCATTTTCTGCCCAGTCATTTTTGTGTCAAATCAAGGTTTCCCAATTGACTTGAAGTTTTGGCCCACATGACAGAATAAGCCTGGTGTAGAAATGCCACACATGGCTTGGAACTGGGAAATGGAGATAACTAAATACTCCATTCCTCAGAAAAATGCTTGGGTGAATTTTTTTTTTTTTTCAGTAAAGCTTACAGGTGAGGCCTGTAGGCATTTGATGAACTTTGAACAGTTAAAACACTCATCACTGCTTTTGGCCATTCTATATTTTTTAGTAGACACTGTTGTATTTCACATTCCTTTATGAACAAACAAGTCCAGAAAAACAGATCTTTGCAGTATTTATATTGGTGGATTTCTAAATAATTAGCCGCATTAACTGGAGCGCCACTGTCCACCCCACTACCCCCTTATAACAATGGTATTAAAATAGTAAAACAGACACGCTTTTTTTTTTTTTTTTTTTTTTTTTTTATAAGCTGTTAGACTAAAAAAAAAAAAAAAAAAAAAACGCACACACTGAAGACTGTCCATACCTACATCTTCAGGGGACAATGACAATGATTGTGTTCATGTCAGAGGCCTGTGCCCCCTCGCAATGCACTGTAGCTCAATCTGCTTGCGTTTTTTGCTACAGGACACATTAATATTAACAGCTGGTGTGGGAACCAGGCATTCAACAACCTGACATGTTAGATGCTGAAATGTCTTCCACAAATCAGATTCATCACCTCCTGGAGAGCGCTTTGGAACCATTCTTACTGGTAATTGACAAAAACGTTAAAGTTTTCCATTGAGTTCTACCAAAAGACAAATATAAACTAAACCTGCATCCTCCTAACCCTGAACTCAGTGGATGTAAATAGCCAAAAAAAAAAACCTAATTTGGTGGTTGCTCTAACAGAAGGAAAAAAACTGCATAAGGCAGATGCTCCCTGGAACAACAATCTGCAGTTGTATGAACAGTGTGTGGTTTTTTTTTTTTTTTTTGTTTTTTGTTTTTTTCCTCAACATTTTTCTGGTGACTGTCTAATTAATCATTTCATTCAAACATGTCCCTTTTTATGTGTGGGGCCCAATTTGATTTGATGCTTCATGGAAAGCAAATGTTTATGTATACCTAACCGCCAATTACAATTGATTGTTTTGAAAATGTGAAAAAGTTTGATTGAAACTGGGAAACCACGATGTTTTTTGTTCGTTTTTTTTTTTTTTTTTTGTTATTTCCAACGTTCTCAATCGCTTGTAGCATCTTTACTTGTTTACTGTTAAATCTCATGTTGAGTTATGTTCTGCCCTCTGCTATAGGGCTTTGCCTTTTCGTTCTCGGAGTATTGTGAATGATTGTCACTTTCATTAATGTCCTTTTTGTGTGTTTGTTTTTTTAAATGAAAAAGTGTAACTGTGGAAAGATTCAATCCAGTTTGTGATATTCCATGTTCTTTGTTGCTGCAAAGTAAGGGCCTTCAACTGCACAACTGTTTAACAGAAGTATGGTTTATATGGTTTCTTGTACTTGCCTTTTTTGCTCAATAATCCAATCAGAATATCTGGAGGTTCCTGAGTAATTGCAACACTAAGTCCATGCTTAGTATAACTAGTAGCTTAGCAGTGCATGTGTCATTCCTCTCTCCTTGGCACAGGATAAAATGAGCTACATGGGTGGTTTTTGGTGGCTTAGAGGTGCTACTAAAATCTGCTAGTAATTACTATGAGTGGCAGTTGATTGGCAATCATGTGGAGCAAAAGGCTCTGTTTGGTGCGACCTACACAACTAGCATGTTTTAGGAATTAATCCTACCCAAACTCGGTGCTTCAGTTGTGGGCAGTTGGTTGCTACTATATGGTACTTGGATAGCTTCTACTCAAGAACCATTTCTTCCATCTGTTTATCAACTGTTAATACGTTTTTGTTTTTTTTTTCATGCAGTGTGCTTCAACTGGCCTAGTCAGAAGCTCATAACACCCTTTATTTTTTTTTTTTTTTTTTTTTAAGGGCAAGGCTGTGTATACTTGAGTTTCTGGCCTCAGCGCTAGATTCAAGTTTCAAGGACTGACAGCAGCAAGTTTCCACTTCAGCCTCTTTCCCTTTTTGGGGGTCAGTGGTCTCTACCAGCAGTGTCAGTTAAGCACTGTTCACCCTGCACCTGAGAACTGAAAAAGAAAAATGCAGCAGGCTTACCGATTTTACACCTGTATATGTGTAGCCATAA